AAACGAAGTTATGGACCTTGAAAACATGGTTCAAAATCCATACAAACGTCTCTAATTGTAAGCCAGCGTCCCCCAAAACCATAGAAACTCTTAAAATTTTTATCCATTTTGTTGAAAGCTGTAAAATCCTGCCAAAGACCCATTATTTGAAAGAAACTAAGATAAAAAATCACTATGTTTGCCCACTTTAAAGAGTATCACAAAAATCAAAAAAAATTTAAGAGTTTCTATGGTTTTGGGGGACGCTGGCTTACAATTAGAGACGTTTGTATGGATTTTTGAACCATGTTTCAAGGTCCATAACTTCGTTTCTGTTCATTCTAAAAAGCATCAAACCTGGTCAAATGACCAATCTCACCATGATCTTTCATTTGGTGGTGTCAGATTATCGATTACTTAAAATTGAAACTCGCCCCAGTTCCCTGCGCAACCTCGGAATGGCCAATAGTGTCCCCAGGTTTTTTTTTCTACATAAAATTATTGTAGCCATCGTGGGACAATGAACACTTTGGTCAGGGCAAGGAAACCCAAAATCTTCTTTGCACTGGTTTGAAAGCATTTTGTATCATTTTTCGTCATGTACCTTTCATTGTCAGTCTACTTGGATCCAGTTTAAGAACTTTCCCTGTAAACATCTGAGATAGAGTGTCTGCCTCCAAGTCACACTGTCCGTTGTAAAACCAATCAAAGCATGTCTATAGAAATAAAAATGACAAAAGACAACAAATTATTACCATTCAGGTCTCGATAAATCAAAACTGTTTTCCATTTCCACTGAGTGTTCGAGTTATCGGGATTCTACTACATAGGGAGCAGTTAACCATTTCACTCCCAGAGTCAAACCTTGAGTCAATAAATGTGCTTGTAACTTTTAAGTCTGTGGATGAAAACCCTAGTGTGTGACCATTCAAATGAAAGCTATCGAGCAGTACTTTCACATGGTGCTGTTTGTTTTTGACTATTTTGCAAAATGAAATTCACGATTTTTCCCCTCAGTTTTGAACTTAGCACTCTTGGGATTGAAAGGGTTAAATGACGCAGCTACCTCACGATCAAATTCACAAGCCTCAGTGTTAGCGACCAGACAATCCCAAATATCTCTAGCTCTGTGCCAGTGGAGATACAGAACGCCTTCTTGTAGGACAAAAGCCAGGAACCGTAGGTGGATGTGAACAAACATACTGTGCGTGTACCGTCCATCCACCAGGGTGTCCTCTTCCAGTCTACCGGGAGCAGCAGCTGTAACAGCCTGTTGGTGACAGTTGACAAGGCTGCTAGCAGTCAGCTTGATGATGTCATGGTTCTTATGCAGCTCCGTGAGGGTGCCCTATAGACATAAATGATACCATATTTACTCAAATAAATGCAGAAATCCTCTCATATAAATGCCTCTCTCTGATGTGTAACTGTCTCTGTGGGAGATGTGATGGCCTAATGGTCAGTGTGTTGGACTCTGGATCGAGCGGTCCTGGTTCAAGCACTAGCCAGGGTCTGACACTGTGTTGTGTCCTTGGGCAAAATAGGTACCGGCAACATGCTGGGGAATAACCTGCAATGAACTAGCATCGCATCCGGGACAAGTAGCAATACTGTTAGTCGGCTTTGTGCTACAGAAAACCGGGATAAGTTCCAGCAGTGAGGGCCAGTTTGGCCTGAGTGTGGTTTTACCTACCTATACCTATAATTGATGCAATTTGGCATACATTAATCTGATTGCAACCAACTGGATGTGACTAGCAGTATCACAGTCAAACCTCCGCCTAATGGACACCTCCCGTAGGTGGACACCTCTCAGAAGCAGACACTAAGTCATGTTCCCTGCTACATACAAACACTACATTTTTAACCACCCATAAGTGGACACCTCTCTTAAGTGGACACTTTTTCTGGTCCCAAGGGTGTCCGCTTATGGGAGTTTCAAGTGTATTTATAAACAAACTAGTTTTAAAACTTAAAGCCAAACCTTGTCATGCTTGTTGAACTGTTGTTTGACCATTCCCCTGGTGATCTTTAGAAGTTGACGGATAGCTGGCACAATCAAGACACCTTTTCTGATATCCTCCACGCACTTGACGGCGTAGTTCTTCTTGATCTGTTCTTTGACAGGCGTACGAGTCACTCAGGATTTCAATGTGTGATCTGAGGGCCTGATCAACCATCTCTGTGACGAGTGACGGCAGGTGAGCCAAGCTCCACAGAAGATCGAGCACCTGGAAAAATGGATTGATGTATTATGAGTGCGAGAATATAAAGAGCGTAATAGTGCTTGACTGATGACACAACACATAGATGTTGTTGAACTAGCACAAGGTCTGTATTGGGGAAATATTGGTTGAGTTTCATTTTTTGCAAGTTCGGCTCAGTCCATAAACTTGCAAAAAAAAGAATGAGACCAATATTCCCCAAACAAGCTAGTCCAATAAAGTTTTTAAATAGCTTTTTTAAAAACTTTGCTGATAAATTAATGCAACCATTCTCGGCTAATGCTTACACACCAAAGTTAAGCATATACGGTACTTGCATTTTTCAGGCCACTTTGCGAAACGTTTTTACGAAATCATCTGCCAGCTAGGAAGTAAGGAAAAATATTTCTACTAATAGAAAACAGTTTTCTTTTGTTCAATGTTTCATAAAAGGAATTCGGCGAAATTAGTCCATCTTAGTCGTCATATTGCAAAATTCGGACCGCTCAGTTGAACCAATCAGAATGCTCCATTTCATCATGGACCAGTTTGCCATATAATAAAAGGTATTATAAACCACGAGACCATCAAGCCTTTGTAAAACATCACTGACAGTACAGTACACCATGTGAATAACCACTCAATGTACCTTAGTTGTGATTTTTCCTACTCTGGCTTCTTTCCCAATTCGTCCCGTTAGCACAAGCAGCTTCTCTTTCATACGGTCACCCTCTGATCCCCAGCTCTTAAACAAATAATACACAGAAATTATTACATTCCTACTAACTACAGTTTTGCCTAATTTTGGATGTCACTTCAGGTTTTTGGACAAAGACATGCCAAAACAAAGCCATTTTTGGCCAGTTTGACGTAACTTCCGATTTGACGTCACTTCTCGACTGATGTTTGCTAAATGTTATGCCACTTCTGATTTTTGCTCAATTTTGACATCACATCCAATTTTTGGTCTACACACTGTATGTTGATGTCACTTCCAATTTTGGGCCAATTTTGACGTCACATCCGATTTTTGGCCAATTTTGACGTCACTTCCAATGTTTAGCCTATAACTTAAGGGTTTACTAGTGGAATGTTACGTCAATGGCATACTACCTGTTGTATTAATACAAATAGATGTTCAAGCTGGTTGGAGTTGAACTGTACAGCAGCTGTCGCCAAGATATTGTGAATGTTGTCCACTTCTGTTGGGTGTTTTCCAACCTTAGAATATAAATAAATTAATAAACAAATAGTACGCATTATTACAATGGTTTACTTTCAGGCAAAGCATTCTCTGTCCATTAAATTTGGAGTCAAATGTTATTCAACAAAGTGGAGGTAAAAGTGGCTTTATTTTTTAATGGTTAGCACGTTGGACTCTGGATAGAGAGATCCGGCTCCAGCCTGGTCAGAGTCACTATGCTGTGGCAAGACACTTCACTCTCGCAAATTGTGAGGGTGAAGTGTCTTGCCCAAGAACACAGCATAGGGGGCTGAAGCTAAATGAGTTAAATGGGGAAACACTTAACAAAAATGCTGGCGGATTACCCTGCGATGGACTACATGTAGCATCCTGGCCCACATCCAGGGGGGGCTATGTTAACAGGCATGCAATTCTTAATTATTTAACTGCTGCAATACTGTACCTGCATTTTCCATATGGTGGTCAATTCATCCAGTGAAAGCTTTGTTCCAAGAAATTCCACAAGGACTTTAATTCGATCACAGTACTGAGACTGGTGAAGATTGCCTTCATACAAGCAAAGAAGTTTCCAAAATTAATAAAATATTAAAATTAATAATAAACCTTCTGACAGAAAAAATTTGAATTTTATTAAAAAAACAAAAAACAAATCAATCAATAATATTATTACTGCATTATCCATATACCCAAGCTTTCACAATTTTATGGGAGAACACCTCTCCAGTACGCCCACATTTAAATGTCTGACTAAAAGCTTGCCCCTGCCCCACCCCTAAATCTGTCTGACTATTAAATTAAATGTAGTCAACTTGTTAATGGCTACTGCATGTAGTTTATAAAGAACATACTTTCAAATGCAATCGAGAGCACTTTGTTTTGTAGCAGCCATTCTGTTATAGCATCTTGTGAGATATCAACTTTGGTATTCTTCATCTTCTCGGAATCTTCAATCAACTTGCAGACCTGGTATAAAAACGAGACGATGGGTAAATTGGAAAAAGTACTGCCACACGTCCCTTATTCAATCATAAAAAAGTTGGTAGTACAATTTAATGGTTGCCAGAAATGGAAAGAGCGTCATGAAATCAATAAGGTTGCCAATTTTGAGACCACTTCACTCCCAAGAGTGGTAAGTTCAAAACTGAGGAAAAATCTTGAATTTCATTTTGCAAAATTGTCAAACACAAACAGCACCACTTGAAAGTACTGCTCAATAGCTTTCATTTGAATGGTCACACACTAGGGTTTTCATCCACAGACTTAAAGGTTACAACCACATTTATGATTCAAGATTTGATTCTGGGAGTGAAAGGGTTAAGTGAGAGATTTTATGGTGGTTTGAAAGTTTAAAGATTTAGAAGATTTGTATGGCATACCTCTTTGAGTGAATTCATCTTTGCATTAAAATGAGGACTTTTGAGCATTTTCAGGGCAACTTCCAACCTCAGTTCATCAACACCTGAGACCATGTTCTGCCAGAGTCTCATGCATAGGAGTTTAAGAGTTGTTAAAAGGTCAAACAACATCACCCACTGTCTGTTAAGAAAACGTACAATAAAAAATTATGAAAAATAATAATATCCAGGCAGTGACACAAGCTACTCGGAAAAAAATTCTCCCAACTGAACAGGAGTTGAAACCTATGAACTGCTGCACACCAGTCGGATGCTCTACCACTGAGCTACAAGAGACTCGTAGGAGTTATTTCAATCTCATTCCAGAGTCCTCATCCCTTGTCCAGCAGCGGAACGGGCAACAAGGACCTCTGGGGGGAAGCCATCCACCAAGTCTAAGAATCCTGTCATGGTGGATCAACTCCCCAGAGGTCCTTGTTGCCCATTCTCCCATTGGACAAGGGTAACAAGGACACTGAGAACAAGATTGGAGCTAGTTATATATAATATGGCCTACATGTAGCTCCAACAAGTCTCCTGAAGTTCAGTGGTTGAGCATCTAACCGGTGTGCGGAAGGTCATAGGTTCAACTCCTGTTGGCCGGAAAACTCAGAATTTTTTTTTCTGAGTAGCCTGAATAATATTTTTCTCGTATTTCTAACAAGCTTAAAATTTGTTTCCAATAAAAAATTATATCTGTTTACAACATGTGTTCTACAGACTAAACCGCAAGCAAACACATGTCACATCATGTCACTGTACTTACCTTCTGTTTCATATCTTCATTGGTAAGTTCTTGGATAAACCCAATGTCTTCTCAAAAACATCACGGAAGACTCTCTAAATGAAAAGAAGAACAGCTATTTAACAGTGCTTAAGATACTATAATACTGAAATATGAACACTTGCCAAATACATGTGTAAGGTAACATTAGTAATTAATTTGTGACATCTTACCGTTAAGACCTTATCATTCAGATAACTGGCGCAAATTCCCAAAGGTTTTAAAAGTGCTGCCAACATCTGAAATAAAATAAAAAATCAGTTAGCGCATTCTTCAATTTTGTAATTTGGGGCGTGTGGTGGCCTAATGGTTAGAGTGTTGGACTCAGGATCGAGCGTTCCAGGTTTGAGAGCTGGCCAGGCTCACTGTTTTGTGTTCTTGGACAAGACACTTCACTCTCACAGTGCCTCTCTCAACCCAGGAGTATAAATGGGTATCGGCAAATTGTTAGGGCACCCTGACGAAAATGCTGTGACGGACTAGTAAAGGTCAACCAAACAAAGGTCAAACCGCTCAATACAGAAAGAGTGGCCATGTTACCTGTACTGTATATTGGATAATTATTATTATTAACAGACTCAACTGAGTGCGTAAATCTGGACACAGATAATTAATGAGTTTGATACATCATACAAATGTACGTACATAAAATCCACTGACATGTAACTCTTACCGGAGCATCCACTTTTTCAGCTGTCTCAATTTGCTTCTTGATTTGTTCAAAAACCATCAAGCTCTGCAAACTGCAATTAAGACAGTGTTGAAGTTCTCTTAAATCTCTACGTCCCAAGTGACCAACACCTACATGTAGTACATGTACATTGAAATTTCTCCTTTAAATTACTGATTGAAATAATAATCAAAAAGTGTTTGTGATTTGTGCTTAGTGTTTTGAAATCTGTGGGCTTATAACGAGAATATTTTTTTCCTTAGTGCTCAGAGAGATGGGTCTATAACCATAGGGCCTAAAAGAAGGGGGGAGGGGGGGAGGGGGGGACTTTACGATTATAAGCGGCAGTTGACGGTAAGAATGAAACTTACCTTGTTGATCAAGTTTACAAGCCAACCATAAGGATCCTGAAGCAGAAAAGTGAAAAAAGCAAATAAATAAAATTAATCTAATTTATGCTTAGAATTGTAGGTAAAAGCCGTACTCGGGCCAAACTGGCCCACACAGCAGAGTCAGCATGGCCGAGTGGTTTAGGACGCTGGATTTGAAATTTGAAAGTGGAGATGGCCCTGGGGATGAGGTTGACTGTGTCTGCATTGTGCAAAATTGCACATACGGTAAACAGGCGTATAAAGGAAGCTAGAGTACCTTATAAGAAGTAGACGTGTAGTAGACTGAAGTAGGTGGAGGCAAGGCATAGCAATCGTCTGTTCCAAAAAACCCTTCATAATACTTCTTGTCCCACTGTTTAGTTCTGTTTCTTGTACTGGAACTCCGTATCAGGACTGAATGCCTGAAAACATAATTTAACACAGCAGGCCAGCTGGGTAAATTGTAACAAGTAACTGTATTCAGTTTGTCATGAGTATGGGAAGTCAAGTTTATCCATGACCTTCTGCACACCAGTCGGATGCTCTAACCACAAAGCTGAGGTTTCATATGACAGTATACAATGTACATACATGTACTGCTAGGATCAGTAATGTCGAAAGCGTCAACTGTGATGATAAATACAAAGATGGTAAAATGACAGTTTGTCATGAGCGTGGGACAAAGAAAACATCAATTTTATGATACTACATAAATTATGATACTACTCACTGCGTTAAGGGGCCACGTTGCCAGCATGGTTGCCTCAATAGTGTAGCCTCAATAGGGTTGCCTCATCACGCCCGACATGTAACCAGGGAGACATGCGTTCGATTCACGCTCGGGACATGTTTTTTCTTTCTTATGGGACATGCGTCGATAGTCATTACACAGTTAAATCTGTGGGTTTATTTTCATTAACTATACATTGTATAATGACATGTAGTTCACTATTTTTTATTTTTTATTTTTTTTTTATTTATTTTTTTTTTTTTTTTCACTATTTACCTGTGTTAACAAATCAAGTAAACCAAATGGTACTGGCTTGTACTTGAGCCTTGAAGCTATCAGATTCACCAAACAGTTTCAGCATGTCATAGATTCCATCATGGATTTCTGGCCCCCATCTCTGTACAGCTTGTGTCGTCAATAGCTACAATAAACAAACTTAATCATTTCAAGGACAGGACGGGTTGATGTGAGCTGGTTCAGTAAAAGGCCGTCTGGCCTCGCACACACCAGCAATTTGTTTAGTGCACACACAATTAAGAACGTTAAAATTCACCAAGATGTTTTCACAGCTTTCCAACAAGATCATACTCAATTACGTCATGGATGGCACATCTTTAAAAAATTGGCCAATTTTTTTCAAGTTCGTCCTTCGCAATCCGTCTCAATCTTCCTCAATCTTAACCATCCTTGTTCCTGTTTGGTTTATTATTTCCTCTTTGGTGTTTTCTACCTTAGTCAACTATTATTTTGAGGTTTCCTTCAATTCGAAAGTAATTTTGTCATCAGAATAATGACTTAAAATATTGTGACATAGCTCGTATGAATAATGATAAAATGTTTATTGACCGAGTCCTTGGTCATTTGCATGGACCTGGCTGTTCTCGGTCTGTACACCATGACCTTGAGCCAAATATTTTCCCATCTGGCCCAACCACTTACATGTATGATCAGTCACTAAGCACAAGAAACTACAGTACCGCCTCAAAAGTACACCGTACACACCTTTTTAAAACATTCAGGCAATGCCCTCTCAATAAATCTCTTGCAGTTTTCATCTGCCTCAGCCAGACCTGAAGAATACAACATTCATAGTGACTCTGAGTTGATGAATTGCTAAAACTCTCAATAATATTACTGAACATGGGTGAGAGATTGATCACTGAAAAGTGACTAATGTATCTTCTCTGGTGATGCTGTCCAATCCGAAAATCAAGTTTCAAAGTTGCTACACTTGGGCACTTGTATTAAACTTAGTCCAAGTGTCACATTAAGCCCAGTTCAAACAGTCTCAACATTTGTGAACCATTTTGAGAGATGTTGAAACAATGCCGTCAAACAGCCTCAACAACCTCTCAACCAGGGGGGGCTAGCAGCGAGGCCTGGGACCTAGTATACATGATTGCACATTTAAGAAATTTGGCCGAGCGAGACTAAGTACTGGTTTGTTTAAAATAAACATGGCGGACGATGGCGGACATGACGTGCGTTTGTGTTCGTTCAGAAATATTTTGGCGATTCCACGTTCAAACATCTATGGGAACGATTCGGTCGCTGTTTAACTGAACTTTGGTCATTGTGGGACACCATGGATGAAATTCCACAGCAAACTCCCGTAGAGGTACGTTTCTCGAATGATTGACTTGTGCGATCATGTATAGCGGAAAAGCGGCAAGATCAAAGGGCGCTGCCTGCCCCCCTGCTTTCAACAAATGTTCAACAAGTGAGATGCGTGAACTCTGAGAATGAGAACAATGTTGAGAAGAGTTGAGAGAGCATGTCAAATGGCTTCAACATTTTGAGAACAAAAGAAATATTGAGAAGATGTTGAGACAAAGTTTTAACAAAATCAAACTCTTCTCATAATAAATTGCAATTGCTTAAATTGCATTCACAACTACGACGATCATATTCATTTCATTCCATTTCCGCAGTTCACATATATATATGATTTCATTCATGAATATATTCATCATCACATTATTCATTCCTATCACGGGTGTATAAACTCACAATTGACCTGCTCCCAACGTGTGGCTTCATAGCTCAGTTGGTAGAGCAACGCACTAGTAACGCGGAGGTCATGGGTTCAAACCCCATTGAAGCCAGAATTTTTTTTCTGGCTTAAAAAATTGCAATTGCTTAAATTGCATTCACAACTGCGATGATCATATTCATTTCATTTGGATTATGTAGACAAACTTGAAACATTCAAGTGTACGGCGTGTGATTTAAAGATTTTTTATGAGAAATTAAGGTTTACAACCCCGATGAGGGACTCTCAAATAAAAGAGACAGGGGTGATCAATCATATAGAATCCCGATTTCTCGAACCTCCAAGGGAAACGAAAATTGGTTAGAGAAAACAGGAAGTTCAAAAATATCGGGAAAAGACTTTGGTTTGAGTTATCGGGGTATTTGAGAAATTGAGGGTTTGAGAAATCGGGGTTCCACTGTATATACATGTGCAAAGTTGTATGTGGAATATAAACTCTTACTTACATGTAACAGATTAGTTTAATGTACATGTATGTGTATTAATATTGACCTTACAACAATTGAGATTAGGATGTGGAGTGATGATATTGGACACATAAACAACCATAACAACTTTATTAGTGTAATTACTATACAAATAGAATTACTGTAAATTCTTTAAATTAGCGAGTGAGAGGTGCATAGATGCTTGACAGTAACTTACATGTATATTGGAGTAAAAAATACAAATTGGCAACAGATCAGCTG